AAAAGTTATTAGGGTGATGCTGTCTCTAGCTTCTGTGCTACAGGGAATACAAATGTACTTGGAGGTTTTATCGCCTTGAATTTAGCACTGCAAATTTTAAAAGGTTAGTATTTTAAATATTAGTTATGAGGTAACTATCAGATCTGGTTGTTAGGATCTAATAATCTGTCTTTTAAGAGTGCTTACTGATCACCAATTTATCTCAAGTCAGTAGAAGTTTGTAGCATTCAGAATATCTTAGGGAGTGGCCAGTAATTGTCTTGGTTTCTAGCATTCGTCAAGGGGATGTATTGCACTGATGTGGGATTTTCAGTTTCCATCAAATGCTGTCAGAAATGACTGATTTACAGTTTCTAACAGTGCAGCACTTTCCTGCTGCTCTTCATTACTGTTGTATCAATTCTGGCTCTTCTGAGCTGGTTTTGATTTTGTAACTTGAAGCCCTAATATTTTGATTCTGGCAGGTAGTTTATGGAAGATAAATCAATGAACTATCATTAATGTTTCCTTGCTGTCTCCAGGCATTCAGCAGTGGCTTATCTCTTGTATCTCATGTTGTGAAATCTTAGTTTACTGAGTTAAAATTGGAAAAGCAACCTGTGATTTGAATGTGTCTTTGTCTTGTGCTTGGTCTTTGAACCTTAAATGTAACAGTAGCACTTTTAACCTCCATAATAAAATTCTTAATTTTATCTATGGGAATTGTTTGTTACACAGTCATTCAGTGTTTTCCTTGAATTCGTCTGTGTTGAGAAATAGTCCTCTCTCCCAGGAATATAAAAAATAAATAATAGTTTCTGTGATTGCAGTGTGTTACTGACTTTTCAATTAGTGTTAGTAGTTATTCCAAACAGTTAAAGAATCAATTTATGTTCTTTAGAAAATGATAGGTATTTGTCTGAAGTATATAGAAATCCAGACAGTAATACAAAATCAATCTATTTTTAAGGTTATTTGAGGTAATGATATAGTGATGAGTTAATTTTACAGTGATTAAGAGACAACACAGTTGGGGCTCCCAATTAGACTTTGATCTGAGGATATTTCTCTCTGTACTTGATAAGCAGGAAAGGGATGAGATTTAATGGTGAGACATGAGGCTTTGAGCAGTTGGGATCCATGTTCTATGTTATGAGAGTTGGTGTAAAGGAAAATTTTAAAGTTACCTGAATATGTATCATTTGGTTTCTCATCTTTAAAATTATTGATTTTAAATTGACATATAAAATATCCTCTGCTATTGAGAGTGCCCAAAAAGAACAGTTAAATGATAAATTTTCACAAAGAAAAATGTAGAACAATCCACATTAAAAAAAATCTCAGCATTCTTGTGATGGGTGGAAAGTTAGTTTTTATTGCTATCTGTTGATACCCAACTTTATTAACATCAAAGGAGGGATAGTAAACCAAGGCTAAGGCTTGCTTCCTTGCTGTCACACACACCCAGTATGGCAATGCACAATACCAAATGTATTGTAGCTCCTGAAGGAAAAAGGGACTGTGTGTTATTGTTATCTCCAGAGAGGAGATGGTTTCTGCACCCTGCTTTCCCATCCTTGGACCATTGATCTCAATGCTGGGACTTGGCAGAGTCTAGTCTGTTGAAAAGGATGAAAAATTGTTACCTTTATGTATATCCTGTAGTTTCTTTGTGTTGAGATACTTTATAATAATAAAATAAAATAGTAATAGCGAATTTTAAGAGGAACTTTATATCAGGAATTCTTCATGGCCTGGAAATTAAAAGAGTTGTCCAGGCAAAAGTAATACAATATGATTAGTGATGAATATAAAAGAATAGCATAGGAATGTAAGAATAAAATTGATGACTGAGGAACAAAATAAGTTTCAATTTACAAAGCACAAGAAAAGAATCAATGAAAGGTTCCAAAACTCTGAGTAAGAGGAGGCACGAAGGGATAAGTCCATTACCTAGATCTGTTATTAAATAAGAAAGGAGAACAAGGAAAAGACTTTCAAAGACTGATTCTTCCCTTCATACTTTGTAAAAGAGATATATTGTGACCTGTTACTTTCATAAAATTAATCTTAGACAGGAAATAAAAGTGGAACCAAAGCACAGAAAGAATAGCCTAAGGAATCTTAATATAGATGTGCTCAAGTGGCAAATCCTAATAAAATTCATCCTAGAATGATTGAAGAATTAGGCACTGCTGATTTTATTTATTTATTTAATATCCCAGAGGGTGGAAATAGCCAGCAAAATGGGTTTGTGTGTATCTGGTTTTGTGCCTCTTTATTCTTCTGTTAAGAGAATTATTGAAACTGTCAGTTTTGATTCCAAATAAAGGTTCAGGAGTAAATAGTTTAGCAATTAATTTGTATCTAACAGTGTGTAGAAGAGAAATGGTAAAACACCCAGTATAGTTTGGTGCGACCTGTTTGTAAGAAACCTCAATATTTTTCTCTTCTAAATAACAATAGCAAGTTTAGTAAGAGGAAAACTTTAAGTACTGTGCAGCTTTATTCCAATAAAGTCTTTTTCCCTACATGAGCAAACTAGGGAAACGTAATATCAATATTGTCTCCATTAGATGTTGATCTTATCAGCATCAAAATGAAAGATTGCCTTTACAGAGTAATTATCTATAGTACCCTGTCAAGATGAAAGGGCATTAGTGAGTTGGATGATGGAAGAGAATACATACTTAGAAAAGTTACTGATGATACAAGCTGGAGAGAGGTTGAAAGTTTAGGATTTTCTTTTTTCCTTTGTTTCAAACATAAGGTCTGAATTCAAAATACTCTTGATGAGTTTGAAAAGTGCAAAATCAAGAAGATGAAAAACAATGCAGGCATTTAACATGACAAGCTCAAAATATATGAATCCAAAACAAGAAATAATTATTCAGATAGAGAGAAAAAAGACATGAAGATATAGCAGATCTCAAGGTGAATTGCTGCTGAGAAAAAAAGCAAAGTTGTTGTTTTGTTGTGGATTTTATTTGGGTTTTTGGTTTGGATTGTTTTTTCTTGAGGATCATACCAGGCATGTTGTAGAAAGCACATTTTGTCTAGTTTGGCAAATCTTCTTTGGGTAATTGGTCCTCTCACATGCCTTGCAGCTTTTTGCTCTTGAGAAGATTCAGCAAAATGGAAGTTCTTTTCCGTTGTTCTTGATTTCTGGTATGGAGTGAAAACTGTCCTGATTTTTACTAAACATGCTTTATACTAAATATGAGGAAAAGAGTCTTTGGGCTATAAAACACTGGAACAGACTACTTAGAAAAACTGTGGAATTAGCCTTCTTGGTAGACACATGTCAATATATTCTTGAGCCTGTGTTTGTGCTGTGTTAGAATTTGGTGGTCTCTTGTAGTCTGTTCCACCTCTCCATTAAGTTCAGTGTTAGACTACATGTTTTGTCTACACAGAAGAGATTGTGTAAAAGAATTAAATCACCAACTCAGTGAAGTTAGTGGATATGCTGCTTATGCATCCTAAATGTAATTTTAAGTTCACAAAATGAACTAGGTAGGAAAAGATCTTTGAGCATCAAGTCCAACCTATGGCCTAACACCACCTCATCAACTAAACAAGGGCACTGAGTCCTACATCCAGTCTTTTTTTAAACACCTCTAGGGATGGTGACTCCATCTCCCTGGGCAGATAATTCCCAATCTCTCTTTCGGTAAAGAATTTTTTCCTGATGTCTAACGTAAACTTCCCCTGGCACAGCTTAAGGCTGTGTCCTGTCATTCTGTCCCTGGTTGCCTGGGAGAGGAGACTGACCCCAGCCTGGCTACAGCCACCTTTCAGGAAGGGATAGGGAGTGATAAGGTCTCCCTGAGCCTCCCTTTCTCCAGGCTAAACACCTCCACCTCTCTCAGCTGTTCCTCACAGGGTTTGTGTTCCAGGCCCCTCACCAGCCTCATTGCCCTCCTCTGGATGCGCTCAAGTGTCTCAACGTCCTTCCCAAACTGAGGGGCCCAGAACAGGGGAGGGATGACCTCCCTGCTCCTGCTGGCCGTGCTATAGGCTAGGATGCTCTTGGCCTTCTTGGCACCAGGGCATGCTGCTGGCTCTTGTTCATTCGGCTGTCAGCCAGCACCTCCAGCCTGGACACTGTACAGCCACTCCATCCCCAGTCTGTAGCACTGCAGGGGCTTGTTGTGGCCAAAGAGCAGGACTCAGCACTTGGACTTGTTAAACTTCATGTTGTTGGACTTGGCCCATCTATCCAACCTGTCCAGGTCCCTTTGCAGAGCTCTCCTACCCTCCAGCAGATCAACACATGGTCCCAGCTTGGTGGACTCAATCCAGATCATCAGTGATGATATTAAACAGGACTGGCCCCAGCACTTGTCCCTGGGGGACGCCACTAGTGACTCACTGCTAAGCATTAGGAACAAATTTTGGGGTTTATTTTAATAAATATGTTGTTATTTTGCTTCTCAAAAAGTGATTTGACAGATCATACTTAAAATTATTTTAAGGCTTCTGCATACATGTCTATTTGTCATCTAATGATTATACTAGAAAAGCAGGGAATGCGATTGCAGTAGCTCTGAGATAGAAACCCCTTGATTACTCATCCACAGTAGAAAAGCCCTGTGGAAAAAAATGGCACCCAAGAGATTACTTGGATTTGTATATTTCTTCAGGCAAAGTTTACAGACCTGTAAATTTAAATGTAGAATTTTTGTGGGCAGAATGCATTGACAAATATGCCTGATGGTAATACATCTCTTACTGATAGTCCCAGAACAGGTCAATAATAATGCTTATATTGATAGCAGCAATGCAGGAGATGTTACTTGGTATTATAGCTAAAATCCATGTTATCCCCTTAATTATAATTACATTAATATTGACAGGCTGTTGACAATACTCGCATTACTATTGATAAATTTCTGTCAATAACATGTTTCCAAATAAAATATATTCATTCATAATTTCTACATTGCTCAATACCAGCACTAATATATACCAGAAGAAATTTCTTTTTCCCTAGTGATATACAGTAATTTTTTTTGTACTGTACAAGTAGGGTTGTTTATTTGTTTGGTTAAAAAAGAAAACAAACAAAATACAGGCTATTTAAGAATGGAACATTTTAGGGTTTTTCAGTTTGTTTTTTTTTTTTTTCTGGCAGGCAATTCTTTTTTTTTCTATGCGATATCTTTGACTGTATAAAGGGAAAACCTTACAAGTACCAGCCTTTACTAATTAAAGAGTATTTCTGTAAAGGTTCATCAAACATTGAGTTTATTATGTATGTGAGTGTTGGTATGTGCCGCTTTCATTACTGGGTCTGTGATTTGGGGTTCTTATGTTTTAAAAGTAACTTAAAATAAGACTTAAAACAGTAAGGATGACAAATAGAATTTAATAAAATCATGGAGGAAAACAAACATTTTCTATATTCTCTGTAGCTCAGCAAAATATAGAATGCAAAAATAACATTTAAAAAAGTACAAGATAAATGTCTTTGCACTTATAGGGTGTGGTTTTATCTAGTTTTAACCTACTATAGTTCCCACTAATTTCTACTGTGATACTACTGTGTGCAAAAACAGTATAAACTGAAAAAGAACAAATTTCTAAAAGGAGTTTGTATAGAAGTAATTTTTAAAGGGAAATTTGCTAGTATAGCAAGATTGAGATTAAAATGTAGGGCTCTTCTCTCAAGGAAACAGTTGCTCTTATTCAGATCATTAGGACATTTGAAGACAATTTCATAGGACAATGCAGATGTCAAACTGTCCCCTTTAATATTTGCCTGTGGACAATAAATATCTTCCCTTGAAGTGCAATAAAACCTTAGATCAATTCAGAAGAAAGTAGAGTGGATAGCAGAACACTGAGCACACAGAAATGTGCTTACATGTTAAAATCAGAAATATACGGATATAATCTTTAGGTAACTTTCAGGGTCCAGTTAACAACCATGCCCTATGGCAAACTTTAAATGTTCTTAACAGGAAAGAACTCAGAACAATGCCCAGATTTATTGCTTGAATTGAGAACACTTAATTTTTCATCAAAAAGAAAGCTTTTTTTTATTATTTTTTACGTAGCTATGTTACAAACATAATTTAAAAGATAGCATCCTTATTGTTTTTGGTATTCTTCCTTTTCCATATAGTGTGCCTAAACTTGACTAAAAGTTCAATCAATTTGCTGGCTGGTAGTTCAGGAAGAGACATTAAACATGACACCATTAGACAACATATATAGTGTTGATTCTGATTTTTTTTAAAAGAAGACTTGTTGGATTTGGCAAAATTTCAAAGGTTACCGAGCAATAGTTGTGCTGTTTGGGCATGTATCTCAAAAGTGGTTCCCTTTTCTGTATACAGAATTCCAGTGCACTCTGACAGATTCACTGAAATTATTTCCTTCAAATACAGTTCTGTGTGGGATGATGGATGTGAAAAAAAAAAATCAATTAGATTCTGCATTGAGGCAACAGGAAGGTCAAAGTCCAAATCCCAGAGAAGATTTTAGTCTGCTCTCCTGTGAAAATTGGGAATAAATTAATTGCTAAAACAGGTAGGTTCAGGCATCATTTGGCCAAGTTTCAAGAATTTCTGGGGAGAAATTTCTGGAGATTTCAGTCTTGGTGGGCAAAATGTTCCAGCTTCCTTGTTTCCAGTTGGAATTTCTCGTGCAGTGACTTAACACTGAGTTGACTCTCTTTATTTCATTGCATCTCACAGAAAACTTTGGCTTAATATTCTCTGCAACCTTCTTAGTAGAAGAAGTAGAAGTAGAAGATTATTCATAGACCATTTCTTAGCTGCCTTATCCTTCAAGTTGAACAATCTGAGTTCCTTCAAGCTCTTCTCATGTATCAGGACATGGGGTTCCCTGATGGTATTAGTTACAGGACTTTTCTCAGTTTGTTGACATTTCTTATGTACTATTCATAGAAAAGAAGCTAAACTGGACTTAGTGTCCCAGGTGTAGACTCACCAATGCCAAGTGGAGGGTAACAGGCACATTTTTCAGCCTGCTGGCTATACAGATTCTAGTGTGCTGCAAGAATGCACTGGTGGCTTGTGTTCAGTGTGCTACCTGTCCCCACATCCTCTTTTTCAAAGCAAGTGTGCAGTCATACAGGCTCCCAGCCTATGTGTATTTCATGATCCATCATAATCCTGTGGATTTGACACATTTTCCTTTGTCTTCAGAAAATTCCTGATGACCCATTCTTCACTTGCTCAGGTTTCTTTAGATAATATAGCTATAATGAGAGAAAAAAATCTATAAATATTTATTCTACCTTATTTATGAGAAACCTACAATAGAAATTGCTCATAGCATCTGTAGTAATGAAAAACAATTGGCAAAGACGGTTGAAATGATGTTAGAAAATAGTCTTAGTAGATGGATCAAGGAAGTTGTTTGATAAGATGTCCCTTTTGAGTAACTAGCATTTTTGAGGGAGGTTTTGAGTGTTGGGAGTTATGTAGAACATTGAAGCAAGTAGAACAAAGTGAAATGAGTAGAAGAGAAAGTGAAGAAGACATTAGACTTTTAGGGTTTATGAGTGAATAACCAGTGGCAGGTTCCAGAGCAGGTGGTTATCAAAGGCTCCAGTTCCTAAAATGATAGTGGAATAAAAAGATGAGGGATAGAAGGGTGGATGCTCATTGGGGCTGGAGTTTTTGAAGTGATGCAGTAAAATCCAGTAGGGGTTGAATTGACCCTTTGATCATAAATTAGAGGAGGGAAGTTACTTGAATCATACTGGAAAATGTTTCTGCTTTGGTTTCTGCTACAGAAAGGACTAAGTGTGAGGGAGACAGTTTTGGTTATATAGGCTTTGTATCCTGGTTTTTCCAGCTGGTGTGGAAATGAACCCTATGGCTGTTGGCTCAGAGGAGGTGGCCTTATCCCGCCTTCAGCCATGTTTTGCCTGCTAATAAAGGAAGGAGTAGTTTAAAAAGGCTAAGTGGAGCTGTTGTGTGCTCTACCCATGTAGCAGTCCTAGTTAATTGGAAACTACTGTTATACACCCTACACTAAAGACAAAGTCATATTTCCTTGCAGTGATAATTAATTATGAATATGGAAAACAGTAGGAAAGCTACAGATGATGTTTTATATTGTGTTTTAAAACTTCTGGGGTGTTATTTTTCAGCAAACATGGTTGTCTCTTTGAAGGGTTTTTTTTTTAGTATTCTTGACATCAGTAGCAACCACTGCTACCAAGAGCCTCTACAGCATCTTTTACTCACAGTAATCTTGTATGGTTATTTTTCTCTTTTAAATAAGAATTTGAGGCACTACCTCCTATACTTTCTCTAGAAGGCTGTGGATTCCTTGCAGGTCTGTTATGTAAAGAATTGGTTTAGAAAGTGAAATATGTTGCATGCTCTCTGAAAATACTTCTGAATCACTTTGGGGTTTAATCTGTTGACAAAAGGAAGCAAAAATTGATTACTCCACAATTTTACATTGAGATGTTGCCTCTATTTTTCTTTCACAATTTACTGCATTTATTTCTCAGCCAGGCTTTCAGATGCAACAACATTTAAAAGAAACCATTTTAAAAAATATTTTTATTTTTTTCTATGATGCTTGAGCAAGAGGAGTATCCATTTGTTGATGTTGCTATTATACATTAATCATCTTGCCTGGAAATGTTATATGACAAGTAGCACAATCCCACACCTGTCAAAAACACTCTAGAAAATATATGCAGACTTCAGTGAAGTACTGTATAATAATTTATGTCTGAATGCTGAATATTTCTTAGATCTCACATGATTTTTCTCTAAACAACTCACTGCCTTTATTGAGAAAATTTTATTCATTCCCACCTTAATTTCATCCATATCTTTATGTAATTCCTAAATTTGTCTGTATTTCTACAGTTTTGCTTTCAGCTGTAGCAATTGAAGTGTTCATATGGCAACACTTGGTCTGCCTCACTGTTCTTTTCCAGATTCTTTGGTTAGTATTTCATTTTCCCTATTTCTCCATAAAACACCATATACTGTTGCGTTCTTCTTTCTGATCTATCTTAATATTTGATTAAATATTACAAATATGCCCTGCAATATTTTAATGTATATATAAATTTATTAATATGTATGTATATGTGTATAAATCTGTGGATTTTTCTGAATATCTCGATAATGTTGAACACTTGTTTATAACCAAATGTTAACATGTTGTGAGAAATGGTCAAGCGTAATTTCTTCTAAAAATAAGATTTTAAAATAATTTAAATGTGTAGTAATTTTATATTGATGTAAAGCTTCCTGAAATGAATTGTGACATATTAATAACATATTTATAGAGCATTCTGAGAATTTTTTGGTTGCTTATCTACTGCTGATATATTACAAATTTTTATTGTAATGTTATTTTTAATAAAAATAAAAATAGGAAATACTCTGCTATACTAAAATATATTTGTGTTTTATTTCTAGAAAGTTTATTTGTGAAGAAATGGCCTCCAGCCTTGGAAATGAAAAGAGTGTGAATCCTGTGCTCAGAATAAGTCAGCTTGATGCTCTTGAACTAAACAAAGCCCTGGAACAACTAGTGTGGTCCCAGTTTACCAGCTGTTTTCATGGATTTAAACCAGGGGTGTTGGCTCATTTTGAACCAGAAGTAAAAGCATTTTTATGTCTCATATTATGGAAATTCACTATCTATTCCAAGAATGCAACTGTGGGACAGGCCATTCTCAATATTCAATACAAGAATAACTTATCTCAGTCAGAGAAATACCAACCTCTGAGCAAACACCAGAAGTTATGGTATCTTATTTTCACTGTTGGTGGAAGATGGTTGGAAGAAAGATGTTATGATTTATTTAGCAATCGTCAACAGCAATCCTTCTGCAAAATTAAGAGCTATATAGGTTTTGGATCTGGTCTTCTTAAGCTTTGTGGACTTGTAAATTTTCTGATTTTTCTTCGGAAAGGAACATTTGCAACACTTACAGAACGCATTCTGGGAATTAGGTCAGTTTTTTGCAAGCCACAAAATGTTCGTCAGATAGGATTTGAATACATGAACAGGGAACTCTTATGGCATGGCTTTGCTGAGTTTTTGATATATCTGCTACCACTCATTAATGTACAGAAACTGAAACTTAAAATTTCCTCTTGGTGCTTGCCTATCACAGGTCTTTCCAATAGTGAAAACTCATTAGCAGTTCACTGCAGGGAGTGTTCACTTTGTGGGGAATGGCCTACCATGCCACATACCATAGGCTGTCCACATGTTTTCTGTTACTACTGTATTAAAAGTAACTTTTTATTTGATATGTATTTTACATGTCCCAAATGTGGCTCAGAGGTACAAAGTCTTCAGCCATTGGAGTATAAAATTGAAATGACAGAATTGCATGGCTGATATGAGATTGATTTCATTTTCATGGTATATATTGAAGAGATTAATGGAAGATTTCAGAAATTATTGAAGGCAGACTGCTGAAAGAGGCTTCTGGGGACTCTGTAATTTATGTAACATGTATTTTTACTGGTCTTAGGTTTTTACTGAGTAACAGTGCCAAAATGCCCTAGCCCACTTGGCAGGTGAGGGGAAGGTGGTTGGATTTACTCTGGATGGTGTGTGAGAAAAACAACAGCAACATTCTCAGGAGGTTCAAGCAGACCTTTTACTTGCAAACTTTAGACCATTCCAATTGAATAAGGCGCTTTGCAAACTTTGACTTGGCAATCTTTAACTTACCCAGACACAGTGCCATTACCAACTTACCTAGTAGATGGATTAAGTGGGAAAGTTGTTCTTTTCATGCCTAAAGAATAATTTTAAATTTGAATTCCCAATATGATGTTACACTAAAAAAACACAAAGGCGTAAAGAATGTTTAAGGAAAACAGTGCACTTTTTAGACCTTTGTGAGATGACAACTAATTTTCTCATGCAGACATGTCTCAGAGCTTCAATTACATATATGTTGTCTTCCCTCCAAACCTGAGGGGTGAAACCCATCATCCTGTGGAATGTGGCAGATGTTCAGGATAATCCACATTCTTCTGAGTTAGAGACACTGAAGAAAACTGTTCACTCACAAGATGCTGTCTGTAGGAATTGCCACTCGTGTTATTTGGTGTGGTCTAGGTGGGTGCCAAATCTCTTAAATTCACTTCCACACAGAAAAATATCAGACACAGTTGTGTGCATGTTAACATATTAAAACAGGCAATTTCCTGCTTTTTGCATTCACTATTTGCTTTCTTAGCCTTTGCAGTGCTTTAATTGTTCTTACACTTCATCCATTTACTCTTCAACCTGATTTTGTAGGATTATTTTCTTTTTAATTGCAATCCTGTTTTAACAGGAAGTGTTATTCAGAAGAGTCTCATTAACACAGAAATTCATTACATTCTCTTTTTGAATCCTAATTTGTAAAAAACATATACAGTTAAATTAAATAAATAGTTTTATGGTGGTTCTGTTCTCGATTGGCAATCATCAATAGTCAGTCCCAAAAATAGCAGGGTAACAGCTGATTGAGTAACTTTGATCTACTTTTATGAAATGGTTTATTACATTCTTCATTCTGCATTCTGATTAGAACAACCCACTAGTCTATTTGTTTGAAGATCTTAAATTCTAGTTTTTGATCTTTAGAGTGACACACAGTGCTTTCATCTGATGTAATTAGGTATAGTTAGCGGGTGGGCAGCTAAAAACTTCATTAATTCTGCTACTCTTCTGTGAGTCAACAGAGACTTCAGAGCAAGTGCTTCCAGATCCTGTGCTGTAATATTATTTGTTGTCAAATGTGTGTATTAGTAGCCTGCCATATTTCTGTTATTTGCTGTTGCAATTAGAACCAGCAGGTGCAAACCTGTTTTCATTAGAGTATGAAAACTGGCAAGTCATTTGGAGAGCATCCTGAAGTTACTTTTTGATCCTGAAGGAATTTTGTGTGAATTGTCCTTCCACATCACTTAATAGCTTTTCCCAAAGAAATGTGTTAGCAACACTGACTTAAAGGTGATCTAATGTCTCCAGAAACATCATACGCATTTTGATACTTCAGTCTTTATCTGTGTTTATTAATAAAGAATTGTATGCATCCAAAATCCAGTGTTCATAGCTTACAATCACAGCAGACCTTTGTTTGCTGTGGAGACTTCATTTATTCTGAAGTTTCAGAGCAATATTTTATCAAAAGAATATGGATTCTCTGTTTTGGCCTCTGCTAGGTGTCATGACCTTCTTATGTTGGAGTTTGCTTCTTTCCTATATAGAAATGTTTCATTTTCCTGAATATTAAAGAATGTTATCTTCCTTTTTCATTCCACCTCCCTCTGTCCTGCTGTTTGATGTGCATAAGCTGTATGAATTTCCTGGGGTTTGTTTTGTCTCTTGCAGCTTCATGCGGGTAAAGTTTGTGCTCTGTTTTTCATCCCTGTTACACTATCAATAAAAAAGCAGTTTAGTATCTCTATTGTACAGCTGGTTTCTGCTGGCTCTGCTATATCACACTCTTGTGTTTTTTTTTTTTCTTTTTTCTGGAATTAAACTTCTAATGCTTAACTTATGCTGCCTTATTATAGCAAAGCATTGGCCTGCTTCTGTAGCACCTCCTCATCACTGTGTTGGGTTTGTAGCCCATAGTATGTACGAAGTTTGTAAAGTCTGTGTCTTGTGGCATAAACTGTTTTTGTTACCCTAAGAACCTAGATCTTTAGGTGGGGGTTTAGTTATTTTATTTTCCATGCCAGTAAGCAGATATGAAGCATCTCATAGAAGTAGGTGGTTTGGGAAAAGAATGATTGTTTGTGTCAGATACAGGTTTTTTTTTTTAATCTCCCATATGGTAAAACCTTTGCTCAGTTATAGTCACTAATGAGACCAGGATTCCAACTTGAATACTGAAAAAGTTTCTACCAGCTTACCTTTTTAGTACTTCAATATTCAGCATTTTCCTGAAGCACTTTAAAATTAAAAGTACACTTCTAAAAATATTTTAATTCTATTTTGTTGTGTCTTGTGATCTACAAGTTGCAGAAGAGTCTTAGTTAAAGATATTACTTGTAGAATAATCAAAGAATAATTAGTTTTACATATTAATTACCTTGATAATTTGTCCTCATAAACATTATATTTTTCAGGTTGAAACTCTACTTTAACAAAGGACTGCTACATCTGGTCCAACTTCCTGTAGTACAGTGAATAAATTTTGTTTTGGAATGTTAATCTTTAAACAAAGGGGGATTAGTATTCAGCTACCACTAGAATGTACTTGTGAGTAGTCATATGTGCATCAGTGAAAAGGGTAAATGCTCACAATTTAAGGAAGCTAAAGGACCAGAACTTCTGTTCAGTCTTTGATAGGAGTTACAGCTTTGTATTACCAGTTTTCTATGTGCTCTGTTGACTTTGTGTGCTCCATGAACATTTTCATTATCAAAAATCCAAATATGAAGGCATAAATGAAACAGACTAATTACATTAATAAATATACTAGGAAACTTTTCATTTTTTCATTTGAATGAGAATTACCAGTTGCCACAAGGTGTAATGGGAGGCATTCAGATGAAAGGAGTCAGAGGATGCTGTTTTTTACTTCCACACACTACCATTCTATCTACTCTATGTTTTAAGGGAGGTTTTGTATAAGTAATTTTATAGACGACTTAAAAGTGGGAGTTTCTGTGAAAGAAATGAGAGGGATAGTATTTGATTCCTGCCTTACCTGGAAATATCTATTTTTTTGTATGTATAAGATATGATGGACAAGGATGATCTCAGCATTAGTAAAGAGACAATGTGAAAAAAGATGAAAGATATGTGTTTGCTGAATACAATTCATTATTATGTCCTTATTTGAGAATACTAATGGAATTGTTATCTGGGATGTGTCATTCTTATGAAAACCAAGTTGACAAATAAATGATATTTTTCAACAGGAGGTTCTGAGGTTTGCCTTTTTCTTAAGAGTTTTTTTCTGAAAGGGTGGTTATTTCTTACTCAGTGGGTGACTTCATACTTTGTCATTTATGAGACTAAAATGCAAAGTGAGAAACTAGTCTAGACTTCTTTAAAAATTTCTTCAGTTTTAGGTTTAAGCAAATTATCTTTTCACATTTCTTCTTTTGAGCAGATTAGTCGTAGCTGTTACACTTTGCTGTGTGTTTGCTAGGAAGCTGTGTTGGCTTGTGCTGAGAACAGAATATTGTGGTGTGGGTGGGCTCAGGATAGGGTCGTGCTTATTGCCAGGACAGATAATTAACTGATGGTCATTTGCTTTTAATACAGTATGGTAGCCTGAGCTGCTGCAAGTCTCTGTGTATACAACCAAAACAGCAGAAGCAGTTTCAAAGTGGTGCTTCAACCCCTTACCTGTTCCCTGGAGGAACTCTTAGTAGAATTGGTTGAATAGATTACAGCTGCCTGCCTTCAACGTCCCAAGAGCATTTTACATGCTGACAACATTAAAACATCCACCTAAATTGTTACCACAGTCTTAAGTTTCTCCCATTCCAGGGGAGTCCACTTCCAAAGTGAGGAGCTGGCAAAGTGGCCAAATACCATTCAAGGAAATGACATTTGTGGGCAGAATCTCTCTCGGACTGGCACCAGATGAATCACAAACATGCACAGGCGTGTTTGCACAGCATCTGCTAAAGCCAACCAGTCATCTTTTCTGTTCTCTAGAGCACAGGGGTTTAGAATTCTCAAACTGTCTGTTGATCTGCATACAAAAATGCAGATCTGTTTCAGATACAAGGTGTTGGCAGACTTGTACAACAGCAGGTGCAGGTAGTTCTATGTCTTGCAGGCAGTTTTTAATAAGTACAAAATCCTCATCTGCATACCTCTGATCTTGGGGCTCCTAAGAGAACAAATTGGTGCAAAGTATGATAAAGTTGGCCAGTGTGCTACCATTGATCTCATATCTGTCTACTTTGAGGGACATATTTCAAGGATATTTTGGGAGGAGAAAAGATTGTCAGTCTTGTAAATGCTCTGCATTAGGCTATTTTGGAAGGGCTGTGATGGAAAACTAAGCATGTTGGAGTAGCTCAGGAGAGGGCAGAAAGCTGACTCTTCTCTCTTCTGCCATTTTCTGTATTCATTGCAATCTTCTTTCTAACTTCTTGACTGCAGAACTGGCAACTTTCACTAATGTGACCAAAGCATCCCATCATGTTCCCTAGCTGTTAGTCACTTGCCAATAGCTGGTGTGCCATCTTGTTTAAAGCCTTTACCTAAATAGTGCTTCGGGACACACTGTGCCAAGGAAATAACCCTAGATAACATCTCCAGATTGTGCAACTGCCAGGGATACCTCTGATGCCATAACTGTGTCAAGGATAATCCTTGGAGATACATTGCCTTAATGGAAAATAGTCACATCTTAAGGTTCAGTAGGAGTCTTCAGGTACCCAATTCTCTAAGAAGGTTGCTTTCCTACTCTCTGTAGTTAGTTCTCCTTTGTGGCCTGAAGACAGGGTGCAGAAAGGATCAGGGTTTTTTGCCTAGAGCCAAGGCACTCCCTGGGGAGAGGGCCCTAGGAGACTGCCTGTTGCAGCAGGCAAAGACAGTAAGTTGCATCTGTGGCAGTACTGACTCTTACATGGGAATATGTATTAGCTCTGAGATCTTGCAAAGAGTTTTGAAACTTGTCCTGTTTTGTTAACCTGTTATAACTGGTTATAACATAACTGTGTAGTTCATTCAGAGTAACCATATAACTGCCTGTTATATGGTTACTCTGAATGAATTCTCTCCTGTTGTACCCAGTTTTGATACAAAGTCTTTTAGTCAAGTTTGTGCATCTAAGGGACAACAGGCTTGATATTCTGGATGTTGATATCCTGTTTGTCACTGGTGATCTTCATCTTAATTTCAAGTGCGTTAAACCACAACAGAAACTATGAATATACTGTGTGAAAGACAATTATATGGGTAGGGGCGCATGGCTTATGGCAAGGCTTAAGAAGCAGTGTGCGTAATGCAGACCCAGGGCTAGTTAAGCTTTTCTTAAAATGCTTTTGTGTCTGTTTGCACTGAAATAGGTAAGTTTCTTATGACTGCCATAGCCACTAAACAGTCTCTCTGTAATTAAGAAAAGCTTCTATGATGTATGTGGAGTATTTATTGAAAACTTCTAACTCCAGCCTCTTTAGATGCATGCTGCTACCAAAGATTGTGGATCCCATGGATTGTTCCACCTCATAGTCACATAGTTCAAAATAACTACCATTGCTTCAGGATACTTTTCATAAAGGCTCTAACATCTCCTTGACTGCTACACTACTAATGTTGACAGCCTATCCCTGATTTCTCTGTATTAAAAAGGATAAGAATAGGGCAAAACTGGAGGCAGGTGCTGGACACAAGAATCAGAGCTCTGTCAAGATAGACAACATGAGGATTTCAGAGGTTATGCAAAAACTGTGCACTCACTGCTGTTCATTCCATATACTGGGGACAAAATGATCCCATGTGGTGTGTGGTAATTCTTCTCCAAAAGAATGCTTGAATGGCCAGAGCATGCTGCAGATGCAAGCATGAGATGGGCAATTAGCCAAGTGGCACAGCTCCTATTACATATGTTGTGGGAAACAGGGTAACAGTTCAGTTGTGTTTGGCTGGTTGTCTCCAGGTTTAAGCAAACTGGCCGTTGCAGAAGGTATAGATGGACTTGCAGCATGCTGTCTTTTGCATCCTTTCACAATCCCTGTGACTGATAACAGCAACAGCAGTCACCCTGCAACAATTTCCAAGGTGGTGGAGTGGCAAGGCACAAAAAAGTGCAGGTTGCTCATTGCATCATTACTTAGTGCCACAAAAACCCAACTTCATAAAAATATAAACTGATCCAAGAAAAACTGGTGCATTATCCATGCTTGCAGAACCAATATAGATATCAGGACATGGAGATTAGAAGTAGGAAGAAAATGGCATTTGAAAGTTTTTCACATACACAGTAAAACAGCTTTTGCTGCAGAAATGGAAAATGCATTAGTCATTAAGAACAGATACTGCACATTTCCAGTCACCTACAGCTATTCCTGGAAATACACAACAGGATCACAAAAGAAAAAACATTCAAGCTGTGAAATACTGAAATATCTCAAAATTCTAAAGGGAATTTAAAGATTGTAACAATCAAACTCAACTCTTGCTGAATGTAAGAATAAAACAGTTTGGTAATTCTTAAAATTTGCTCCACTAATTAATCGGCAGACATAAAACTCTCTTAAGATACCTATGATTGTGAGAAGTTGCTTTTCACAGTGAAATGGTTAGTTCTTACACCTAAGCTATTACTTTAACTCATTATTTGAACAGGTTGGCGGGGGACATTCAAGGAAAATAATGTAACTGGTTTTCCATTATTACTTCTTGCTTTCTTCCTTTCTTGCTTTCTCAGGAACTGCTCATGAGCATGATGTTTTAGGTCTACTTTTTGAAGTAGAACATGTATTTTTTGGTAAGAGCATTAATTATATTTGAAGATATATTAACAATATGTTAATATTGTCCTTGCTTTTTTTTGTTCTCTTGTAAGACCTTATGAAATATCCTTAAGTTTATGGATAAATAGATTTTAATTCTATTACAGAAGTAAAAGCCCCTTTTTGGCATTTTGTAAGTAGATGATGATATTCTGTTAGTGACTGCCTTTTCAGTAATGTGGTGGTCTAAATTCTGAATTCTATTATTTTACATCGGCAGCAACTGAAAGTATATTTTTTATAAACAGCAAACTTCACCTCATAAAAATTCATTACATAAGGGCATAAACAAGTACTTTTCCTTGCAGTCATTGGCAGTAAGTGATTCATCAGTTTTCCACAGAAAACCAATTTCATTGCAGATGTTCTGCAGACTCCCTGAATTGTAGAATCATATCATCCAATCCCAGCACAAGGAATGTAGGAATTTTTTTTAAAGGGTGGAAAAAAGGCTGTGCTTAGTCTTTTTAATAGGATTGAATATCATTTGCTGTCTCATCAGTTTTGTGAAATAACCATAAAGTAATCAGCTTGCCATTCTTTCCTTCCCTGTACAGGCTATCAACTTACTCACAATGCTGATTTCATAGCAAGTGCATAAGTGAATAACTTGCCGGAGAGCAAAATCTTCCTTTGAGGTTAAACAAAATGTAACTGGGTTACATAGTTGTCTCTCCTTTTTTTCTTCATTCTTTCTCTTCTCCTTCATTTCTTCTTGCTTGCTTTTTTCATTCCTTTCTTCCATTCTTTCATTCTTGTTTAATACTTCAAAGTATAGGAATTTTCCATAGTAATCAGCCACTAATTTTCACTGTCCAACAAACCTGCCTTTTTTCTTCCTTTAAAAAAGCATTTTTTTATTTTTCTAAGAACCAGTCATTAACTGGTTAATTGGTTGTTTCAATTCTGTTCTTTCACAATGAGCCAGAAATAAAGGATAGACCTAAAACTACTTCTTGCTAGTGTGTGCAATTTTGTTTATTTCTATTCTGTATAACATATATAATCCGGCCTACTATATTTCCACTGCATTAACTTATGTAGATAGAAAATTCAATTCTGATAGCTGAAGGAGGGAGAGGAGACAAAGGAATATATTAAGATAAAAGTGAAAAGGTATGGAGAAAGTTTGAAGCAGAGAAACCAGAAAAGTAACTGGCAAGCAGCAGGAACCAGAAAGAGATTTTTTTTCCAGGAGGAGGAATTAATTTTATTGATATCTCCAAGACGGAGTTGAATGTAGCTCATAGAGAAGAAGCTGATGGTAGCAAAATGCCCATTTTGGTAAATGTTCTGTACAGCTTTAGGTCTTTCTCTAAGTCCTCTATTTCTCATTTTGTTTTCTCCATTGCTACTATTCTTAACATAGCATAGAGAGAAAATTCCTCCAAACTTGTGAATCAGTGAACTAAAACCAACAAGATCCAGTCTAGAATCATAGAAT